GGAGCCCAGGCTGGCCTCAAACTCACAGAGATCCGCCTGGCTCTGCCTCCCGAGTGCTGGGATTAAAGGCGTGCGCCACTACCGCCCGGCTCGGCCTACTTTCTTATAGAACCCAGGACCACCAGCCCAGGAATGGCACCAAAATGGGCTGGGTCGTCTTTCATCAATTGCTAATTAAGACAATGCCCCACAGGCTTGCCTATAGCCCAATCTTTTTTTTTTTTTTTAAGATTTATTTATTTATTATATATAGTGTTCTGCCTGCATGTATGCCTGCACGCCAGAAGAGGGCAGCAGATCTCATTACAGATGGCTGTGAGCCACCATGTGGGTGCTGGGAATTGAACTCAGGACCTCTGGAAGAACAGTCAGTGCTCTTAACCTCTGAGCCATCTCTCCAGCTGCAGCCTCCAGCCCAGTCTTAGGGAGGCATTTTCTGAGTTGAGGTTCCCTCCTCTCTGATGACTCTAGCTTGTGTGGAGGTGACTTTAAAGTAGCCAGCACAGCAGGGAAGCATCGTCAGGGCATGATTGGCAGCTGAGGAAGGGTGGGAGGCTGCTGCAGGGACCCAGCCCAGAACGGCATAGCTCAGGTGCGGCCTAGGCAGGGCCTGAAGAGGTTTGGAGTTTGGGGTGTGTTTAGGAGCAGGAGCCTCAAGTTTGATGCTGGTTTGGCCTAGTGGATGGTGGGGAGGAGAGTGCAGTGACTGGATTGTTGTCAGGGCGTTCCTTGGAGCAGGGGTGGGGAGGGGAGGTCTGAAGGAGGGGAGGGGAGGGGCAACACTGAAGGTCAGGGCAAGCCTGAGCCTGGAGTGAGCTTGGAGTGCTGTGGGAACACAGGAGAGCCAGGGCTGGAGCCTGTCGCTGAGTGCAGTTCTCAGGAGCGTGTGGGTGGGCCTCGCTCTTCTCTAGAAGGCCCTGCATGCAGGTCAGGGAGGCCTTTCTCTGCCAGAGCTGGCCATCACAGGCTGGATGTGGACCTTTCAGAAGCTGGGTGAGCTCAGTGTCCAGTGCGCTGCGCTGCATGCACGTGACCCTGGCTTCCAAAGCCAGCACCGCAAAGCCAAAAAGTGAATAAAAACTGAAAGATCTGATTACTATGGCCTGAAGCTGAGCTCAAGTATAGGATCTGCTCTTACCAGTATAAAACAATCACCTGGCGCCTGTGTGCGGTGAGACGCGAGGTGGGATCCACAGGCCTGCAGCCCAGAGCCTGTGCGGGGGGAGAGAAGAAGCTCTCAGGCTGCAGCAGCCTGGGAAGATCTTTCAGATTGCTCCTTAGAGGCATTTCCTGCTGTAGGACCCAGCAGTGCCACCTCTGGGCATGTTCCAAGAATTGTGAGCAGAGACTCGAGCAGGTGGTTATACATTTACATTCTTAGCAGAGTCCCTCACAGCAGCCGCCATCGGGCAGAGCATCGCCAGTGAAGCGTGAATCTAATGATTCTTTATCAATCAAAAATCAGGCCAGGCAGTGGTGGCGCATACCTTTAATCCCAGCACTTGGGAGGCAGAGCCGGGCGGATCTCTGTGAGTTCCAGGACAGCCTGGGCTACAGAGTGAGATCCAGGACAGGTACCTAAACTACACAGAGAAACCCTGTCTCACAAAAAAAAAAAAAAAGCCCCCCTGAAGTGGGGTCCAGGTCTCCTTCAGTGAGTGGGACCCTGAGAAAGGAGTAAGGGTCGGGTCTGCTGCACATGGCGTGGTAATGCCCCTGGCCTTGCCTCAGGAGACTCTCTGAAGGATGCTTTGTCCTTGGACAGGATGCTCACGAGTTGTTCCACGTCATCACCTCCTCACTGGAAGACGAGCGGGACCGCCAGCCTCGAGTCACTCATCTCTTTGACGTTCATTCCCTGGAGGTAACGGCTTCAGTGTCGGTCTGCGCATTCAGTGAGCGCAGGACACACGGTCTTTGTAAGGCCTGGACATGAGCGGGCGGGAGACCCAGTGACCGGGAGGTGGGGGGTGTGTGAGGCCGGCAACCCTTAAACTGCACACTCCCGGTGGTGTGTGCGCCGGCCGTGGCAGGCTCCCTGAGGCCTGTTGCTGCAGCTTGGGTTGTACTGGAGGAGAGAAGGTCCACGGGGTTCCCTGAGTGAGCGCTCGTCTCCTGGAACAGTGTAGGGCTGACTGGTAAGGGGAAGGATCCCAGAGAGAAGAGACAGGGTTTTGCGGCCACCATAAAGGAACTCGTCAGAAACCAACCAGAGGACGGGTCAGTGCCACCTCAGAAAGTGGTCTGTGGACACTGTTGGTTTTGACATTCCAGGCGCCTCGGGAATTTGTAAGGCTCCTGGGTGGCGAGGGCGGTTGAAAGGCTTGCAGTTGAGGTTTGGTCTCTTTTTTCCCTACAGCAGCAGTCAGAGATGACTCCCAGACAAGTCACCTGCCACACGAGAGGTAGTCCCTTTCCATTGATCAAATGTGCATTTCTGAGGAAACGGATGAGAGCAGCTGTGCCTTTTAGATAGGACAGCACTGTGTGGGTGACTCTTGCCGCCTGCGTCCAGCTGGGGCTGCGCTGGACCTCCGTGCACCTGCTGAGGGCCTGGAGTGTTCTGGAAACAGCTTTGAATGAGGAGCTGAGTCCTCCAGCCCCAGCCTGACTCGGCTCCTCCCTCCACTTCCTCTTACTGAGGCCCCTCCCCTGGAGTTTTAGGTCCTGGGGAAAAATCCAGTGAACAGAATCTGTCCTTCAGCTTTCCCCCCGCAGAGAATCCTAGCTCTTTTGAGAAACCTTTGTTTTCTCGAGAGTTGAAGTCAGCACAGCCTCTGGGTCAGTAACAGTCGGGCTGCGGTCAGTCCCAGGCAGCCCCAGGCGGTACAGCCTTCATCTGAGGCCACAGTGGACACAGAGGACAGCGACCATCACCAACAAATGAAATTTACAGGAGCCGGGGGGGGGGGGGGGGGGCGCACGTCTGTAACTCCCACACATGCAAGGCTGAAGCAGGAGGATTTACTGTGTCTTTAAGGCTAGCCTGGGCTCTATAGTGAGTTTCAGGTCAGCCTGGGCTATAGTATGAGACCATATTTCTGTGTCTCAAAAAGAGAGATTGAGAAGAGAGATGAAGTAATTTTCCAGGTCACATGACTAATAAGCAGACTCAAGACCTCACTGAGGACTCCCTGATTCTAGAGGGAGAGTTTCTCACAAGCGTTTTGTCCACTAACCGCCATCCTAATCAAGGAGCAGCCCGGTTCTCTAGAAGTTGTTTATTCTGAGCTTCCCTTGCTGTATGGAATATCTGTGCCTCCTCCTGCCCCCTCCACAGTGCGTGTGCATCTGCAGATCTCAGCATCCTCCCCTCCTCCTGCCCCCTCCACAGTGCGTGTGCATCTGCAGATCTCATTAGCATCCTTTTCGGTGTCTACTCCATGGTACACAGCCTTACACATGAGCCTTGAGGCTCTTCTGTGAGGATGAGACTGCAGGTCAGCAAGAAGACTCACTGTGCTTCATAGGAACAGTTTGCTACGGGAGGAATGTCTGCTCTGTGCTGAGGAGGGTGGAGTCTGATGGGGTCTTGGGTCATGTGCCATATCAAAGTGTGCTTTGCTTCCAGGGTCTCCTCACCCCACGTCTAATCACTGGAAGTCTCAGCACCCTTTCCACGGAAGACTAACTAGTAACATGGTGTGCAAACACTGTGAGCACCAGGTAAGCGCTGTGACAGCCCCCAGGAGACTGCAGGGTGCAGCAGAGGACCCAGAGAGTGCAGGTTGGCCTCGGGGAGCCCTGGTTACTGCCTGCACTCGGTCACCTGGGCCAGTGCCGGTGTCACTGGACCCTCAGGTGACATCTGCCCTGGGAGCAGCAGGTGTGGCATGCAGACGATTACAGCATTTCAGGTCCTGAGCTTGCGAGTCTGCCTGCTCATGATGCGCACAGCGGATCTGAGAAGTGGGAGGGGCTTAGCTTTGCATTTGAGGGTTCAAAATTTCTTTATGGGAAAGCTTCAACTCAATACAAGGAGAGAATTTTACAGCTGTTACATCAATTTTAGAACATTTTAACACACTGCCCTGCCCCCTGTGGAAAAAAAAAAAAAAAAACCCCAAACCTTACACATGGCCATTCTCTCCTGAACTCCTCACAACCAGTGATGTACCTCTGTCTGGTGGGGGACAAAGTCTGGACTTCCCAGAGCAGAGTCCCGCCGTAGGCATCCTCTTTTGCCCAGCTCACTTGCATGCGGGGTCTTCTCTCTTGTGGTGTGTACATGAGCACGTCCTGTTAGAACCTAGTGACAGCTGTGTCACATGGCTCTGACGTGTGCTCCTACGTTCTCGTCCATGCTCAGTTGAGGAGCATCTATATTGTCTCTACTTTGGGTGTTTGTTTTGTATTGTTTTGTTTTTAAGTTTCTTCAAGACAGGATCTCACTATGTAACCTTGGCTGTCCTAGATCTCACTCTGTAGCCCAGGCTGGCCTTGAACTCACAGAGA